AAAGTACTTAAGCTACTATTAAACTGACTTAAAAAAGCTCATTATTAATCCGCCTATATGTTGGTAACGCTGTCACTCCGCGAAAATGGACCGATTTCCAAAATTACTTTACCAATTACCAAAATTACTTCCAAAATTACTTAAAAGGGTATTGTCCTGTAGTTGTCTTATTATCACCAAGTTAGGAACAGTTTTATATTCGGACAAAACCGCGGGCGATAACTAGTTTATATAATTAAGAGAATCGAGCCCATAAACTAAATAAAAATCACTAAATGGTAAAAAATACTTTATTAAGGTGTTATATAAAGTAATAATTTTCGTTCAGCTAGTGAAGTTAGGAATAAAATAGAAAAAAAAATTAAAAAAGTTTACAGAATAGGAAGGTTTAAAAAATAGTTTAACTAAAAAATATCGCGGTTAAAAATTAATCTAAATCATTGTGTTCGAACTTTTGATATCATTAAAACGATATTAAACTATCCATATTTTTTAAATTACAACATAAATAACAAAAAACTGAAGGTTAAACAAATATTTATTATATTTAAGACCTTTAAGACACAAAAATTTAACACACTAATCGTTAGATCAAACAGAACTTAATAACTAGACAACTATATCTAACACTTACCAGATCGAAGAAGCCGATATCTTCGTTTATTTTAATATTTTCTTTAATCCCCATATCGTAGGTTTTCCCTTTGTGGTTGACGAATCTTTTGCTCTGTCCTTTCATTGTTGAAAAAACTATAGAACTAAAATGCTGAGAGGATCTCACAGACGAGCTGTCGGGGCTCGTGGTCAACACATACTGGCCTGTAGTTACTTCAAACACCACTGGGGAAGTCCTTTTTGAATCAAGCTTTGATAAAAACTAATATTATACAGCGGTTCTGTTCGTATATTTACAGAATTTTATCATTTATTTCACGTACATAATGCTACAATTCATTTGTTATTTAAATTTAATGTCAACTAATTAAGTTTAGTCTATTTTTTAGGTATTTTAATTGAATTTTGTTGATTTTTTCCAAATTGTGGTTTACGTTAGGCATTAAAATTTTTCCTTTAAATGAATCATGAATGAAACGTACTGTAAAGTGGAAAATTTTTTAATAATGTAATCAATACGGTGCGGTGTACGAAGTTAGAAAATAATAAAACAAAATTCTAAGAATATGACGACAATCCTAATGATAACTAGAAGTTATGTATTTTAATTAAAAGGTTTTTTAAGTCTGTTAAAGAAAAATGCGGTACAAAAACTAACATAAGATGTTTAAATGACTTATTTCATATTATTATGGAGTTATTATTATATTAGCTGTTCAATGATAACACATACCACAAGATCGTAGTCTTGAAACTGAAGAATCTTCAATTTTTCATTCATAAACTCATATTTTTTTGTGTCTGAAGATTTATGAATGTAAAAGTCAAAACTTAAAGTGTAGTGTGACGTGAAATTGTGGGTATACGGAGCAGTAAGATCTTCTTCAGATGATAGAAGTTGTATCAGGTCTTAATATATCTTATTGAAGAGTTAGACTTGCTGAGACACGAAGATCGGGACCTGGTGATGAAAGAAAAAATTAACTCTTTCAAACAAACAACCAGGTCAAGTAACCAGACGTATCTTCTCATCATTCCATGTATTCACGGTGCGTGTGTCGGGTCCATTGTTGTAGTGAGAGGAGCTTCAACAGTGACTGGGAATTGTGACCCAGGAGTAACACTCACCTCCACTGTCTAAGCTCCTCTCTCTACCTAAATATAATTTAAAACCTAATTAACGACGACTAATTACGAAGAACCTTTTTTTAGTTAGTTCGTTTGTGAGCTCGTAATATTTATTGACCTTGATGGCATGGTCTTTGGGGATGTTGGTTTCCCAAGGGACCGTAAGCTCTATCATTACAACGCGCTTTAAAATTCGCAAATACATAAATATATCCGGTCTGGAGGCCGACGCACAAATATCCTCGGGGATTTTATATTGTTTTTCATACGTGTCCATCATTATAGTCCAATCCGAAGCCGCTTTAAGGATGGAGTAAGGCATGACGTTTAATTTTTTAACCCTTATACTAACTTTCTTAATTTATACTAAAACAATTGCTAATGTTTTATTGAAGCTTATTATAATAATTAAAGCTCTACTGATATCCATTAGTTTCGGAGATTATTTCTCAAAAACTGTCAGACAAACACACAAGATTATTAACAGTAATTGTATTGGTTCTACAACATTAATATGCACCATGTACAGACAGCAATTAAATAAACATTTTATGTATTTTTTTTAATCTTACATTAATAAAAATAAAAATTTAGTATCTTATTAAAAAATCATATAATCTATGTACATAATATAACAAAATTTTAACTATAATTAAAGATTTGATCCGTCAAATAGTCTAACCATTTCGATAGAAATTATACAAACCCATAGAAAAAGTTAATAACTTAGAATAATTATTTAGATATTATTAATTTAAAGATACATTTTTCTATATAACAGTATTTTAGTGTATTTTTTTTCGATAAAAGTTCATTGTGAAGGCTGTAACTATACTAGTGACGTCATAGAGTCGTTAAAACTTGGGAATAAACAATATAAAGTGAATTAAAACAACTAGCCTTGAGATATATTACAAGAGAAATGATCAAAAACATACAATATATGTTTATATATGTTCATTAAAATTGCGATACTAAATGAAATGTTGTGTAATTTTAATATTAATATCTATTGTGCAACTGCTGTTATTGACAAAAATCTTATTTTTTTAAGTCATATATTTTACGTTTTTCATCTCAATTTTTTTTTTAAGTGCGGTAACGTAATAATAGATTCTTCTTCTTCAGCCAGGGTCTGCCTTACATGTTGTGAATAGTTTTGGCTAATTGTTTTTACGACCGGCCGCCTGCCTGACATCAACAATCTTTGGGAATGCATTAATCAGTGATGTCTAAATACTCTTAGAAAGTATATATGACTCGGAAAAATCACATTAGTACTTGCCAGGATCAAACCCGCGCCCTCGTGCCTGAGAGGCGGATCTTTAACCACTAGGACACCACTGAGAATAATTGATTATTATATGTAGTATTCATATTAAGTAAAGAATAAGGAAATAAATTATTTACAATGATTGCAAATTTAATAGCAGTTGATACTCAATACTTTTTTGGAATCTGTACCGTTGTAATCATTATGTATTCAATAGTGTTTTTGTATCAACATAAATTATAGTTACATTAGTGATTTAGTTTTTTCTAATGTTCCAAATACATTTGTATTCTTGTTGTACGATATTGAAAGAATCTTGAATAATTTTGATATTGTAGCTATGACTACAGACGATCGTTTCCTGTTTGAAAATCGATAGGTAAACTAAATTAAGTCGAGACGAATCCTCTCATCATTCCATGTATTCACGGTGCGTGTGTCGGGTCCATCGTTGTAGTGAGAGGAGCTTCAACAGTGCCTGGGACTTGTGACCCAGGTGTAGGTTTAAGGGACCCTATCTAACGCGTTAAACGCTCACCTCCATCGTACAAGCTCCTCTCTCTACCTATCGAAAACCAAAATTATAATATGACAAAATTAAGGAATTAAATACTATTAACTCTGCGTATTTAGTGTTCTGATAAATTATATATTTTTCTAAGATCTAGCGAAAATATTATCTATGTCAAAAGTTTCATGATAAACCAACACAAGTCATAATATATAATATATATGTATTTATAATGGTTATAAAATCTATTTTTAAATTAAACATATAGTTATTATTGCAAGTTATATAAATACGAATATTATCCGGAATATTTTATTGCTTTATGTGAAGATAAAATATAATGATTTTATATATATAATATATACTTGTCTATGTATATATCTATATGTTATGTGTCTCTTATCGTTTTCTGTGGTTTTCTTATTTGTTTGATTTGTAAAAACTTTTTGTGGTTGACACTTTTATCATTTTCATTTCAATCAAGTATCGATTATTCAAATTTTATTAACTTTTGAAGTTTTTTCAATTATTTTTATTGTGTATTTCTGTCACATCTTCAGACAGTGGTTAGTTACTCATATGGAATTGATATTTGTGAGCTTGTACCCTTAACACAAGTTTTCATATTTCTCATTCAATATTATGTTAATACTATAATGTGAGTAAATTTTTTAATGAAAAACTGTTGACGCTGCGTTTGTAGTAGGATAATACTAACTTGGGGTAAGCATAATATTGTCATTACTATGAAAAAATCAAGTCAAAGGTTTATGAATCCAAAGTAATATTGAAACTCAATAAAAGATATTTTTATGTACATAGAGACGGTGAGAAGATTCCTTATCACCAAAGATGAGATAAATTTAGTTTAATAAGGTTTTCTTTACCTCTGTATTAAAAAGTTTTCTATAGCAAGCGCTTATAAGTGAGTATTTTTTTATTTATATTTGTATATAATTTGTTAAATAGCACCTAATATACATTTATGGCAATGAACTCAGCTCTCAGACCTTAGTCATAAGTCGGTATGTAACTTTGACCATGTTTAGTTTATTTGGGATTTATGTCGACTTTTCCTGTTGTAACATTTAAAGTTAAGTTTTCGGTGTATATAGCAACTATAGTTGTAGTTGAACTAGTATAATTCTCTTAATATTTTTATATAAAACGTATTCTTGTATATCCATGTTGGAAACTTTTGATATATAAACTAATAAGTAATAATCTTCGCAGCATCCCAATAATTAATAATGTAATTAAATTTATTTGGTAATGTTCATCCTATTGCATACATTTTCTAATCTTAAATAAAAAAAACAATAATGTTATTGATAAAACTATAATAATTTGAAACCTAATATTATAAGCACGAAATTTAATTGTAAATTCATTTGTATAAGTTTAGTCCAAAATAAAAATCCCACGACTTGAAAAGGGAAAGGTATTTAATAATTAATAAGTTTTTTTAAGTATTTATTTTTTGCTCAAAGCTTCCTTGAATGTGCTGGCGGCTGCCGCAGCGGCAGCGGTTGCTGCAGCCATTGCTGCTTCTAGAAACTTGGGTGCCTCTGCTGCTAGAGTTTTTGAGAAATCTTCAATAGATTTCTTCTGTTCGCTCGCCAGTTTTCCAATGGCTTCTTGAAATTTGGCCAGCTCCACGTTGGAAGCGTCTTTAACATCATCAAAGAGTTGCCTCGCCTTTTCTTCCGTGACCTTTGTACCGTCAACTATTTTTGCTGCAATGTTTTTTACATTTACCAAACGTCAATATTGAACAAGGAAAAGCGTCAATGGAACGTATGGTAAGATACTTTACATAATTTTAGAATATTAATATATTTTTAACAAATGAAACAAATAATAAAAGGGAATTACGTGGAAATTGGTGTAAACTATAAGTAAATTTGTACCTAAAAAACTAACATTAATAAATTTCATTTAAAAAATGTCATGCTATGAATATAAAGAACGTAAAAAATAAAACATATTGAGGGGAAAACCGGGGAACAAATACAGTAATGCTAGTGTTTAATATTCCCTGTATTTTAAACGTTTCATATGTAGGGAATCCCCTCGGATCATTGACCTCTTACTCACAATCTTTCATCCATTTCACCAAGTTGTCGACCGAGTTCTGATTTTCTCTCTCAAGTTTCTTAAAAGCGTCCTCCATCTCACAAAATTTACTCCAAAAACTGTAATTTAATATATTACTATCAAAATTAATTTTGATTTGTTTATGTATACTGACAATACGTCAAATATATTTTTTAATATTCGTTCAACGTCACGAAAATATGATTACTACTTATGACCACAAACAGTTTACCTCTGTTTTCTACTAATATATAACATTTGTTTACCTTATAGTTTTCCGTGAAGTTATGAATATTTAAAAAATAAAAACATTTCCTTTATAAAGATTTATTGATTTTAAACACAATGGAAATACAAATTTAGTTTAAATCGCGATGGTCGAAACGTCTATTTTTTTTATGTCTTATTTTATTTTCGTCTCATTTCTTGTATTTCGCTTATTATATCGTATTTTACGTTCTCAAATCTGTTTAAGAACACATCAATATCCAGTTTCGATTCTCTAGATAGTATACCCAGTAGTTGTATGAATTTAACCATCGTTAAATGTTCTCTGTTAGGCGAAAGACGCTCGTACGAATGTATGAAGAGTTCCTGTGTTATAAATCTTCTATCTATGATGCTGCAGGCTTCGAACCACTTCATCACTACATCAAAATCAGCTCCTTTACCCCCACTTGCACCGCGTAATACTGTATACATTTCTTCTAAATCCATTATAATATAATAAATACTATATATAATTGGCCCAAAATGGACGGTTTTTTTCCAAACATCTTCGAGATGGCAACGCCTGAATGTTAACTAGTTTTAAACTTTAAAGATTTTCCCTAAAATGTAAAGTTCATTAACCCTATATTCTTCCAAATTTACTTACCTTTCTCATTACGTCGTGATCGTAAAACAAATCCAATCATGTTAATAATAATAATTTATGTATCAATTGATTCAGATATTTTATTTTTGAACATATTTAGGCCAAGTTCAATTTCCTTACTTCTCTTTACTTAAACTACGTTACTGAACGTAATGCGTTTAAAGAATAAACGTAAATCCATCGACTTACATATATAGAGACACGATAGTTCAGTAATTAAAACGACGGTGTCGAGACATGACGCGGTAAGGGGTTCGAAATCAAACAAAATCGGATATTTTTTACTATGTATTAATACTTAAATATCATACAACCATCTAATGATCTGTTACTCTGTATTGATAATAAGAATTATAATCACGGAATTATAAAAAGTGAAATTGTAAATTTTGGCCAAACTATTAAAATGTTTTAAATATTTTTTATTTAAAAATAACTACTAAAATAACGCGAAGTAATCGGACAATATTAGTTTCATTTAAATGAATACTCGAGAAAGTCTTTGATCTCATTATGTAAAAACATTAAATTGAGTCAATAAGAAATGTAGTGATTTGATAATTTTACTAGTTATGGATATTATATAGAAGATATATTAGACGAATTTTAGTTTAGAAAATAAAACGCGATTTAAATATGTAATTAAAATTATACACTTATTAAATTTCTAATAAAAAACACAAAATACTGCGAAATATTTCAACGGAATCTATTAAGGTGCGCTAACGCAAGCCCACTCTATAATGCGACATGCGATAGATAGATGAAAAACTTTGCAGCAACATATAAAAGAAAACCACACACAGATTGTATATATAATTTATTTCCATACAAAAATATACATCTATATATTTACACGAGTTAAGTTCGAATAGACAAACACACAATACTGATCAACAGTCATGAAGATACAATATAAAAGAATAAGTTGACGAAAAATAAATTAAAATATTTGAGACATTTATGATACAAGAAGCCTCGTTGTGTACCAAATAACATTAATATATAAATCAGGTATATATTTTGTACATGACATTGGTAACGCGTTACTATATACAGGGTGTTCCTAGCTCGACCTCTTCGGTATGAAAGACACGGTCAGCAGGTCGTCCTCTTCGCGCAGTAGGAAGTCTTCGTTGGGCTTGCTGCGGAATAACCTGGTATATAAAGAAAATATATTAAAAATATTATATAGGTATACTATACTATATGTATGGAAAAACAATTAAAACCAAAAACAAAATCACATGCTTAACAAAAAATAGAAAACAAATCCAAAACAACACAACAACATATACAGGATATATATAATGCGAAATAAAATGAAAACAAGTTCTATAAAAAAGCAGAACAATATATATTTAATAGGAATTGAGAATATAACTCACACAAAGCCAACACACGGACGCACACATTGAAACAGAAATAATATAATGATTATTATTATTACCATCAACACTTTATAAGAGGTGACTTGAGAGAGACGCGACTTCTGTGACAGACAGATAGACAGAGATAGGAAACTAGCTAATATTCATATAATATATCTATTGATATTTAACTTGGTCAAATTGATAATTAATTATTAATAATAAAGTGGTCTTTGTTTTATATTTCATAACAAACATACATACACCTACAATAATTTTTATTTGTATTGTATATTCATTTTTGTATGAAAACCTATATAAATAAAGATACATTTAAAGACTCATTTTTAATATGTTTTATTCCATATTATATTTTTATCCTTACCATATGTGACCATTCAGTCTTCACCAATACTTCAAGGGTGAAAATTAATGTATGAAACTCAAAACTTACAGTATTCAGTTTATCTATTATACTATAAACACTGAGTTTGCTAACAAAATATACTCTATACTATCTGTGTTTAGTAAAACAGTGAAGACTAATAGTAAGGATACATATAAGAATGTACCTACTAGGGTTGCCTTCGATGTACGTTCCAAGAATATATTAATATAAGTTCTGGACATGCCCAAGTCTTTTAGTATATTGTTTATCCTACTAATATTATAATTACGAGAGTTTGTGAGTGTGTATGTTTGTTACTTGTTTACGCTCAAACGGCAGAAACGATTTTGATAAAATTTTGTATACAGGAAGCTGACGTCCAGGAATAACACATAGGCTACTTTACATCCCGGAAATACGCTTGTAACACTGCGGGGCGCAGCTAGTATATATATATATATATATATATATATATATATATATATATATATATATATATATACTAGCAGACCCGGCGAACTTCGTATCGCCCTATAATCAAGAAATATCTGTTACGTCTTTTATTTATATTTTTGGAGTTTACCTATAAGCCATAAATCTAGCGACAGAATGATTGACATATTGGTTAGTTGTAAAATCTTATGTAAAAAAAAAACGTTTGTATCAACAACTATGTACTAATAAATTAAAAATTAATTAAAAAAACATTGTCCTGCCGACAAAATTGTGAATCTAAACCATTCCCAGATCCCCTTGGACACACACACAAAAAATTTCATCAAAGTCGTTCCAGTCGTTTGAGAGAAGTTCAGTGACATACACACTCACAGAAGAATTATATATATATATATGTCTGTGTGTGTGTGTATCTGTGTGTGTGTGTGTGTGTGTGTGTGTCCCCATACTTGGCCAGTGGTGTTCCTTTATCCTGTTCCGTCTTGTCATCCATTCTATGTACAGTCACCGCCTCCATTTGTTCCATTTGTTCCAGGTGTAGTGACTGTAGATACTCTGGAGTTTTCAGCTGTTCCATCGTCGGCTTCTTGAAGCTGAGAATAAATTTCATATATTAGACTATTAATACAGAGACGAAACCTCTTAGCATTCAATGGATTCACCGTGCGGGTGCCGGGTCCATCGCGTTGCAGGGAGAGGAGCTTCAACAGTGCCTGGGACTTGCGACCCAGGTGTAGGTTTAAGGGGCCCCTTAACTAACGCGCGTTATACGCTCACCTCCACTGTCCAAATTCCTCTCCCTACCTAACCAAATTTGAGTCGAACCTACTAGGGCTGCATTCGAAGTACGTTCCAAGAATGTATTAATATGAGTTCTGGACAAGCCCAAGTCTTTTAGTAGGTTATAGAGAGATTTAGCTGTTATACCTCTCGCTCCCACCTCTACCGCGTACAAATCAACGACGGACCTATTTCGAGTTAGTTCGTTAGTGAGCTCGTCATATTTATTGACCTTGATGGTATGGTCTTTGGGGATGTTGGTTTCCCAAGGCACCGTAAGCTTTATCATCTCAACGCGCTTTAAAATACGCGAATATAGAAATATGTCTGGTCTGGAGGCCGACGCACAAATACCCTCGGGGATTTTGTATTGTTTCTCATACGTATCCATCATGATAGTCCAATCCGAAGCCGCTTTAAGGATAGAGTAAGGCTTGACGTTTGATTTTATAGCCCTGGTGCCTTCTCTCACAAAACCTATTGATCGTTCGTTTGTGGTTATTTCCCTTTGCGCTCTGGCTACCGAAAGACTAACCGCTTCACGTATGATCTCTAAAACCCTATCGTGATGACGCGAGTATTGACCGCTGTCCAGGAGAACCTTACATCCCACCAGCAAATGCTTAGCAGTTCCAACTGCCTTTCTGCAGATATAGCAAGTTTTTTCGGTACCTTTACCCCATCTTACTAAATTACTCTGATCTGGGAGAGTCATCTGGAACGCATTGAGATAAAATTTTAGCAAGGCTGGCGACCAGTCATGAATTAGGGTGAGCCATTTTAATGCTAATGGGATGCAAAAATCTCCTATGTCTATCCACTCGTTCTACATTTCTAAACTCATTGCATGGATCTTGTATTTATCGTTCTCGTCTTGCCGAATAAAAGACTTCAATATATCCGTATCTTGGACTTTCCTACTTGATCCTTACCCTACTCTGTTGTTTTGCGCTCCGATCATCTATTTAGTAATTAATCTTGAAATAAACTAATTTTTTTAATTTAATTGTATTTTATTCTACATATATATCAATTATACAATAAATGGCAGTTACAGTGTATAAAATATATACAATACTACTTGTAAATAATATAATTTTACATACATATATATATATTTATAACTTTTCTGTTCGACAATACTCTTATTGAGTCTACATATAGCGTGTGTGTGTATATATATATATACATACGTCTTCAGCAGTAGACTGGAACACACCACAGACACGGAGCTCATAGCCATAGCAGCGGATGCCATCCAAGGCTGAAACATATAATAAATATTACTAATATATGTGATTTTGAACATATAGTAATGTTATAACATATTGTTCAAGCTGCAATTTGTCTAACTGTAAATGTTCAGCGTTACTTTCAGTCTTCTTCCTGACAATTTCGCAGCTTTAGCCAGTCTGCCTTACATGTTGTGAATAGTTTTGGCTAATTGTTATTACGACCGGCCGCCTGCCTGACATCAACACTCTTTGGAAATGACTTTCAGTAATGTCTTATAAGTATTCATAGTTTTGAAATACAAGTTGATACTTTTATTAAATGTTGCTATTATAACATTACAATGGTTTAATATTATAATTAATTATAATAAGTCATTATTTTCAATTATAATATTATGTATAGTGTATCTGTGTGTGTGTGTGTGCGTGTCACCTGTAGCTGTAGTCCGTACAGAGCGAACGCCCCGCTAGCCAGCGGTATCCCCAGCAGGTTGTATACGGACGCGAACACGAAGTTCATACGAATACGACGTACGGTCACCCGGGACAGCTGGAGGCAGGACACTACGTCCAGGAGGTCACTCTGTATAACAAAAACATATATATTAATATATATATACTAACTGCGCCCCGCGGTGTTACCCGCGGATTACCGGGATGTAAAGTAGCCTATGTGTTATTCCTGGACGTCAGCTTCCTGTATACAAAATTTTATCAAAATCGGTTCCGCCGTTTGAGCGTGAAGAAGTAACAAACATACACACACACTCACAAACTTTAGGACTAAATAGGAGGATGTAGGAGGTTTTGTTTAGAGATAAGTACTTCTCCGTATATTTCCCTCTCTTTCTCTCATATATATATGTTATTCACTTACTTATTTCACATAACGTTTCAGTTACATGTGCTTTATTCCTTGATAATATTAAAGTAATACAAAAATAAAGAAACACATATATGTTGGTCTATTTAAGAGCTATATACTTCGTATGTCTACTATATTTAACAATACTATTTTCTTTTCAAATATTAACCATGATATATCCGTTCAGCGTCATTTCTTTGTTATATTTCTCTCTCTTTCACTCATAAATTGCTCTTTCACACACTCGTATTCCTTCCATTTTAATTACAACTTAAACTTATACTTTGACTTTATCGATCACTACTATAGTAAAATATCTTACATGAAACATTCAAAGTAATAGAAACAAATTCTACATATACATGTTGAATAAGTAAATTTATAAAGTATATAGTCTGTGGATAGATGATATATATTTTCTATATTATCTGTGAACTATGTCATTATAATTCTTACCGCGTTGTGTTTTAATCTTTGCTTTCAATAAAGTGTTCAGCTTATAGAAATCTAACAAAGAGTTTTTTTGGAATACTGCCTAAAATCAACAATATATAAATATATATATTTCATTCTAATCTATAGTATATTCATTATGTTTTGCAAATAACATGTATGTATGTTGTTACCCTCATAAGCACTAAATCAGCGGCCTCCACAGCCACATCGGTCCCGCTGGCTATCGCTACACCGACATCAGCTCGAGCCAGCGCCGGGGAGTCGTTCACACCGTCACCAACCTGGAACACAGGATAATAATAATAATAAATCATTATTCACAGAAAAAGTTACAAAGTATAACGAAGTCCCTGATTTCTGAGCTAGGCTCAAAGGCCTGTATTACAGGAATCAGTGTCCTCTCTCATATTTTAGTGTCATATCGTTCTATGTTAATAAAAATAAATGATAAATAATAATTATTTCTTACTGTATACTAGAGTTGAGCGTGTGTGTGTATGTGTGTGTGTGTGGATGTAACTTCATTGGACATGAAATAGTGGGGTCATTGACCTCATAAGATTAATCCATACTAATATTATAAATGCGAAAGTAACTCTGTCTGTTAAGCTTTCTCGACTGAACCACTGAACTGATTTTAATGAAATTTGGTACAGAGATGGAGTTGACCTTGAGAAAGAACATAGGATAGTTTTTATCCCAGACTTTTGAAAGGTTCTCTTGGTAACGCGATATAATAACTCCACGCGGGTGAAGCTGCGGACGGAAAGCTAGTGATAATATATATAAATATCAGAGGTTAATAAACTTATTTTGTTACCTACATTGAGAATTTATTGTTTTAGAGTGCCTTCACATTTTCAACTACTGAAAGACCACTATAACTTATCCTATCTAAATGATATTACAAATCACCCCAGGTCTCATAACGCCGCCATTTTGATTTTCTATCTCTTTTCTACCTACCTTACCTACATTATTACTACATTAGTAAGCCTAGTGTATACTCACCATAGCAACTTTCTGTCCTTTATCCTGTAATTCTTGGACTTTAGCCACTTTGTGTGATGGTAGAACCTCCGCGAAAACTTTATTGATTCCAACCTGATTAATAATATTTACATCAATACAAAAATATATTAAATTTATATATAGTGTTGAGAGAGTACGAAGTTCGTAAAGTCAGTGGTGTCCAAGTGGTTAAAAAGCCCGCCTCTCATGTATGAGGACGCGGGTTTGATCCTGGCAAGTATCAATGTGATTTTTCCGAGTCATATGTACTTTATAAGAGTATTTAGACATCACTGATTAATACATTGTCAAAGAGGGTTGTTGTCAGGCAGGCGGCCGATCGTAAAAACAATTAGCCAAAACTATTCACAACATGTAAAGCAGACCCTGGCTAAAGCTGGGAAATTGCCAGGTAGAAGAAGAGAGTACGAAGTTCGTGAGTAGTATATAATATGTAAAAACGATCTATTCAGTTCAGTTGTCAACACGCGTTCGCCTGAATATCATTGTAATATTTTTATCTGATTTAAATATAATTATATTCGCCTAAATATCGCCTTTTTATTCATAATCCTACATATAGTATAAAATAGTAATATGTATGAGAATAAGAGAAGAATCTGTTACTAGTTAGTGCTTTCTGATGTACAGATTTTAATGGTGTTTTCAATGGATGGTAAAATTCGTATACATACTACATTTCAGTATATTGGAGATTTTTGCTAAGATTGATATATATTTATGGAACACATTTAATTTGAATCAAACCTTTAAATTCCCGAAGTGACTTTAAAGCAATGACGTTTGTTTTGTTCACTTTTACGAGGGAAAGTATTGTGTGTTTGTAAATTAAATTTAACTTATTGAAGGTGTTTTGGTTTAAGATAATAATCAGTTTGTTCTAGTTAAGGTTTGATTTGGTATTTAAAAGTATTTTCTTTATAAGATAAGTATATATGTTTGATGATTTTGCTAGAACCTTATATCTTTAGCCAGGGTCTGCCTTACATGTTGTGAATAGATTTGACTAATTGTTTTTACGACCGGCCGCCTGCCTGACATCAACCATCTTTGGGAATGCATCAATCAGTGATGTCTAAATACTTATAAAGTACATATGACTCGGACAAATCATATTGGTCAGGCCAGGTCCGAATCCGCGCCCTCATGCATGAGAGGCGGGCCTTTTAACCATTAGGACACCACTGACTTTATATATATATATATATATATATATATATATATATATATATATATATATATGTGTGTGTGTGTGTGTGTGTGTGTGTATGTTTGTCACCTGTCTCGCTATAGCGGCAGCCGTCTTCTTATTATCTCCCGTCAGTAGACACACCTCAAGCCCCATTTTCTTCAGACAGTACACGGCTAGATGCGCTTCGGGCTTAACCTGGTCTGACACACCGATCGTGCACACCAGCTGCTCTATAAACACAGATAGTATATTAATATTAATGTGTTTACAAAGTTTATCTTGTTTCGTTGGCTGCTTATATTACCGTTAAATACATATGATTTATCCGAGTCATATGTACTTTATAAGAGAATTTAGACATCACTGACAGATGAAGGAAAACATGAAGAAACCTGGACTTATAATTTACAATTTTAAGTTAGAAATCTCGAACCCGTCTTGATCAAGCGTGGTAATTAATCAAACCTTCATATGAGAAGAGGCTCAGCAGTGGGTATAGGATAATAACAGTGTGTTTACAATGTTTATCTTGTCTCGTTGGATGTGTACCGTTAATAGCGACCAGTACAGCCGTCCTCCCCAATTCCTCGTCATTCCTCAGCTGTTCCTGCACCCTCCTCGGTACCGTCACTCCGTTCCTGTGCATCCACTCCCTGTTCCCTATAAGCACTACTTGCTCCACTTCCTGGAATATACAGATATATTCTATATTAGCATTATATAATACTTAATATTTTAGTAGAAACATGAAACTCATAATCATTATAGCTAGTAATCCTACTAATATTATAATTGCGAAAGTTTGTGAGTGTGTATGTTTGATACTTCTTCACGCTCAGACGGCTGAACCGATTTTGATAAAATTTTGTATACAGGAAGCTGACGTCCGGGAATACCATATAGGCTACTTTACATCCCTGAAATCCGCGGGTAACACCGCGGGGCGCAGCTAGTTTATTATAAATTCTTTTATTAAGTATAATTCATATCACATCTGGAAATTAAAAAGGAATGTATAGAGTTTAGATAAGTTTTTTATACAAGATATCAGCTATTGGTGAAGTGAGGTCGTGGGTTGAACTCTAAACTGAAGTTTGATAAAACGTTATATAATATGTATCGTGTTCGAGCTACTGTTTCATATTTGATTCTTAGTATTCATCGTTACTTCCAGAAAAGACTTCCTAAACGGTTGAAGCCAGTATTTATAGTTTACAAATATAAGTAGATACTTAAATGTTGCATGCAAAATTACAATTGTTCATTATTATAATTGTTATTATAAGTTGCTAAGGATTATAGATTGTGATTAGTACAACATAGATGGCGCCACTTGTAGATTTAATCATTTCCGACATACCTCTCCTTGCTCAGCAGCCTTAATGACCCTTTGTAACCTCGCAGCGGCCTGGGCGGAGCTTAAAGCAGCGTCCCCCTCCCCGCCCACAAATTCCACGGGGACTCCGCCCAATTGTGACAGGACGCCATCTTTATCTAGTCCCGGTGGCCGTTCAGTGAGTAACACGCGTGCCCGCAACCCGCAGCCCGGCGCCGCGGTGAAGCCTCGGACTATCGCTCGTGGGGAGCCCACCACGCTTGTACACCATCGTACGATAGCTGGAAGTTCATTGAAATAGAATTTTGTTTCTAATCCCTACTAATATTATAAATGCGAAATAAACTCTGTCTGTCTGTTACGCTTTCACGCCTAAACCACTGAACTGATTTTAATGAAATTTGGTACAGACCGAGTTGATCTTGAGAAAGAACATAGGATAGTTTTTATCATAGACTTTTGAAAGGTTCTCTTGGAAACGCGATATAATAACTCCACGCAGGCGAAGCTGCGGGTGGGAAGCTAGTATGGACATAAATTAGTAGATTTTGGTAGATTTTAGTAAAAATAACGGTCGAATAGAAACATATTAAGAGTTAATATTATATATGTTACCGGAAGCGACCGGATGTTCACTATTCAGCTCCGCTGTCAGTATACACGTGATGACTTCCGGTAGTGTAGAGGGGTCGCCTGTCAGTATAGACACTCTTGCCACGGATGTGTCGCCCCGCGTGACAGTGCCTGTCTTGTCGAATATCACTGTTTTCACCTGATGATAAACAAACATACAAAGTTTGTTTATAGAATATAATATGTATGTTATTATGAGTAGGGCAGTGTTGAGAGGTACACGAGATATAAGACGACTAATAGATCTCAAGATATCCGAATTAGAATCCTTTTGAGTTATTGTAATGTGGGTTATATATACTTTGATTTTGAATTTGTATACTATGTATATGTTCTGTACTATTCACATCGCTTTTTTGTATATTGTTAATAAAAAATATTTACCGTAATATTGTCTAATCTATCTTAGGACCATATATGTTGTATCAAAAATATGCTGTTCTGAACAGTTAAATAATTTTACAATAACAGCATGTTGAGTCCAATTTACATGAATTGACACCAGGAGATACTTGGCCTATAACAAGCTTACTTTGTGAGCGTTTTCTAGAGGCTCCGCCCCCTTAATGAGCAGTCCTAGCCGCGCGCCCACACCCGTGGCCACCATGACGGCCGTGGGCGTGGCCAGACCCAGCGCGCACGGACACGCGATGGCCAACACTGATAATGCGAAGTGGAAGGCCGTCTGTACGATCAGCTCCCAGTCTGAGAAACCCGCGTCACGGTAGATCTCCTGAAAAACATATATATACGAAATTTAATATTACTTGAATTTTTTGTTTCCATCTTAGTGACTTTGTGTCTTTTTTGGAAAATAAAGATCTCTAAACCTATATACAATTGGCTTATAATTATTTATTTTGTTTTTATTGCCTGTATTGTATTTATATGGCCTTAAACCTTATATGGCCTTAAATCTTATTAGTTTATGTTTATTCTAGCACAAGTTTTTATTATGACTTAAGAGTGTATAACTTTGTATTTAATTTAACAGTGCTGTAAATGCCTGTAGTGGTGTATCACACTGCACTGTTCGTGTACTGTTATTACATAAGTGTTATTGTGAATATGCCGATAGTGTTTCAAATAAATAAATATGTGTGTGTGTGTGTGTGTGTGTGTGTGTGTGTGTGTGCGTGTGTGTGTACCGGAGTGATGGCCTTGATCCGCTCCACGTCGAGCGCGCCGCTGATGGTCCAGCAGACGAGCGTCAGTAGCGACAGGAACACAACCATTGGCACGAAGTAACTGTAAGACATCATATATATATATATATATATATATATATATATATATATATATATATTATAGTGCGTTTGATATAAGCTGAGCTTTGTATTTGTGTGTAGTGTATAAATAGTATAGGTGTGATGTCAAATTGTTGAATGAAACGTTCTTTTCTAAGTTTGAATCGGTTTATTCTGCTTTTACTTCGCCCCGCACCTTCCTCACTTCACTCTTTGTACTGGTAGCAAAATCAAATGTTGATATACAATGTCAAATGAAGAAAAATTTGTATTGTTTTTTTCAAAATTTCTATTACTTATTAATTTTTTTCCATAATAATTCGATTTGGCCTTTTACAATTTTTGCTTATTATAATTTTAATCTGGAATAGCTCTAGTACTAATGTTATGTATGTATTTAAAGTATACTAAAATTGAATTGTAAAAGTTTTTTGTCTAACTCTAGGTACTTTTACTGTCACTCACACAAATGCAAAGCTCAGCTTAAGTCTAACGGACTATACTTATACATATAATACCACAAAAGAACTATTCTTACACCTAGTATAGTACATTTTCACTAACATAGGAACACTTGTAACTTAACTTATTAAAGATACATATCTTAAATAGTTATGTAATTTATATTCTCTGCCGAGCGACAACTTTAAACATGTAGTGTAAATCTATCAATTAGTTCCCACGACACAGGAATACCTAGTGTGGGCACCACCAGACATTTCTTTGTATAACCCGCTTGCAAAAAAAAACAGAGAATTATATAAAAAATATATAAATTATATTTTTTTTTATGTTGATAAAGGATCGTTTTTATGATAAGGCGTCATAATACTAGGTCATTTTACTCACGAATTTTCCCAATTAAATAGATACATATGGACCGATATGATATTACAGCTTAGCAATAAAAAAAACGGCAAGTGGACGATAGATTTTTTGTTGTGGTGATATTTTTCATAGTTTAAGATAATTTTTGTATTTAACAATTAGTAAATAAGTAAATGTAACAAAAATGCTATCGCTACTGAGCGCTTACGCGGTAGCGGGAGAGAGGTCGCATTCCAGAGAAGTGCATAGTTGATTCGTAGGGGTTATATTATGTTGTGTTTTTTTTTTAATAAATATTTTCTCTCTCTCTCTCTCTCTCTCTCTCACACACTCTCCGTCTCTCTCTCTCACACACTCTCCGTCTCTCTCTCTCTCTCTCTCTACTCACGAGGCGATAGTATCAGCCAGTCTCTGTACGGGCGCCTTGCTGCTCTGCGCGTCCTCAACAAGCCTCACTATCTGCGCCAGTGTGCTCGCCTCGCCCGTGTGTGTAGCTCTTACTAACAACGCTCCGTGTTGATTCATACTGCCTCCTATCACTAAAGAATCTGGGGATCGAAAAATAAATGTAATACATAATATAATAATATGTAATTTTTTTTTATTTTATTCTTACATGATAATAACGTTTCGGTAACTTTGCAGTAACAAAAAGAGCGAAATGTTAGGAACTGAGTATTGATGAAAAATTAACTGTTTTGGTGTGAAGGTTGATATTAGGTTGCAGGACCATTATGTTTTTAAAGAAAACCAAGATATGTGTTCACTAATACGATGTTTATTTGCGACTGACACAAGATTTAAACAGATTGAGCACTACACTGGGTTCGAAGTAATAATTTGTTTATATATTAAAGAAAGACTTAACATTAACCAAAACACTATCCAAAGTTCCTCTATTGCTATATCAGTATGCGAGCAACGCCGCGTCATCTAGCTAGTATAGTATATATCCACGAACCTTTAGTCTTAGCGACTGGCATGGATTCTCCCGTTATAAGAGACTCATCACACGTGCTCTGGCCGGAGATCACCTTCCCGTCTACTGGGATTTTAGCACCCGGAACAACCTGACAGACATACATATAAATATAAACATACATACATATAACAAAACAGAGTTATCGTAATTTATATGTTAGTCACGTAAAAAAATACGTTTACATGTTTTAAAAATATTAAAAACGCTATGAAATGAACAACGATCTGTAAAAGACCAAAAAGACCGAGTAGACCGAACTTAATTTCGTGTCTATTCACGAAATAATCGATTATAACTTAAATAGCAGTCTTCTAGGACATAAATTATTGAAAAGACCGAGTAGACCAACCTTGAGTATGTCTCCCCTCTCCACAAGGTCTACTGGTATGTTCTTCTCGGAGACCTCGCGTCCCTCAGGGTCCAGAGTCACGAGAACAGCCTCCGTAGGCTTCAGAGATAACAACTTTGATAACGCTTCAGATGTCTTACCCTGGAATGAAATTGACACAGATTATTAATATAACAAGTAATAAAATAAGTCAGTGGTGGCGTAGTGGTTAAAAGGCCCGCCTCTCATGCATGAGGGCACGGGTTCGATCCTGACAAGTAACAATGTGATTTTTCCGAGTCATATGTACTTTACAAGTATTTGGACATCGCTAATTAATGCATTACCGAAGAGGGTTGATGTCAGGCAGGCGGACGGTTGTAAAAACAATTAGTTAAAACTATTCACAACATGTAAGGCCCTGGCTAAAGTTGGGATATTGCCAGGTAGAATAAGAAAAAGTTATAAACTAACTGAATACTGTCACCTTGTCTGATAAAAATAGTATTTAAACAACATAAATCTATCAAATATGTAGAATTAAAATAAGTATTAATGACAATAAATTAGTAACACTATCTATTTAGTCTCGTAAATTTTAACACACACCATTCTCTTCAATATTTCTATGTATACTAATGTACAAATTAAACCACACCGTATACTGATCTAGCGAACAGATATCTTCTTCCTGGCAATTTCCCAGTTTTAGCCAGGGTCTGAATAATCTAACGAACTAACTACTATATAAAATAAAGAACCCGAACTAAATAAATTCCTATAATAATTAATTAGTGTTATATAGCGCCATCTGTTTTGACTTATGTCAATGACCTTTCATAATTTTTGTTTACTAAATGAAACTAATATTTTTCGTATATACTATTCGACTTTATTTTTGATTATAAACTACATACTCTATACGTTTTGTTACATTAAGACGAGATGTGTTTGAATTTTTGTTTCTATTTGCATTGCTTTGAACATTAGTGTTAGGATTAATTAGTCCCAATAGTTCCGGGTTTGAGTCCTGATGTAATATTGTAGATTTCTGTGTTTATATCTTTCGTTTATCTTATTTCATATTCTATTCATGATAAGAAATCGAGATATTTGAAAATTATTAATATAAAATTGTTTTTTATGTTGTGTAAACTTAATAAATTAATAATGAAATTGTATCCAATATTATATTTTAAGAATAATATAATTAATTAATCACTTCGATAAGTCTTAATATCTTGAATTTAACATTTATATCTATATACAAGTAAAGACACTATAGTTCAGTAGTTTCAATGACAGGAAAAAATCATTAGTCGCAGCTTCAAATCCTGTTACCTTGTATAATTACCTTAGCTATATGTTCTAGCCATCTGCCTAGCGATACAAACACTAGTAACATGGGCGGCGTGTCGAAAAACGTGAGCGGGCTCGTGTCCTTCTGTAGCGCCATGGCCGCGCCCACTGCGCCCACGGAATATAAATAACTGTTAATGACATAATTATTATATATTAGATAAGTTACATGTGTATCCCTACTAATATTATAAATGCGAAAGTAACTCTGTCTGTCTGTCTGTTATGCTTTCACGCCTAAACCACTGAACTGATTTTAATGAAATTTGGTACAGACAGAGTTGACCTTGAGAAAGAACATAGGACAGTTTTTATCCCAGACTTTTAAAAGGTTCTCTTGCGAAGCTGCGGGCGGAAAGCTAGTTAATTATAAATAACAAGATGAAACGACTATATATAACTCAACAAGTCACAACTAAATAACTCGCCTTATAGTAGTAGTCATAGATATAAGTACATCCATGTTTGACGTTCCGTGTCTCAACGCCTTGTACGCTTGTTTATAGAAATGCCAGCCGCCGATAAACTGAAATATACATAAAAAACTTTAATTATACATTTTTATTATTAGTCTAGACTCGTCTAGTCTAGACTGATATAGACTAGACCAAGTCTTTTAGGACAGTATTGAAAATATGCTCTATTTAGTATACATAATTTTTATATATTTTTTTGGATAATTATGAATATTTACCCTTCAAAATTCAAACTACCGTCACCAACATAGAAATTCATATGTCGATGACTCCTATGCATAAGGTCCAATGTGCTAAATGTCAATTGTTCAGTAGAGGCGTCTTAAGTTTGATTTCAATATATCTTGTACATACAACTGATGCTGTGAAACTTATACCAACTATGACATATATATACGTCATTTAATATTGATAAAATTATTTGTAACCCTACTAGTTTTTTTAAATATATCTATTTTTTTATAATATACATTATAAAAGCCTTTATATGTTAAAAATTGTGTTACTTATACTTTTTTTGAATACAGTAATACGAAGTGTTTAAAGCAAAAAAATTGAAAATAGCTAGATGGCTACTTTTGCCTATACAGGGTGACTGGTGAATTACTATCGATACGTGAGGACGTGATATTTGACGATCATATATGACAAAATAAAAATTAATATAACATAAATATTAATAAACTTCTAAGTAAAGTTAACCAAAAGTTATGTAATTAATTACGCATCGTGTGAACACCCTACAGATTGATACAACACCACGCCGCCGCGCGTGAGTGTGTGTGTGAGTGTATACCTAATCTGTAGGGTGTTCATACAAATATCATTTTCATTCAAATATCGATAGTAATTCACCAGTCACCCTGTATATATCACCCCTACCATTATTTAAACCCATATTACCCCATATTACCTGCACAGGGGTAGCTAGCAGCCACAGCAGAAGATTCTCAAGACTGAGTCCTGGTAACACGCAACACATGTCTCTGGCGGAGTGGTGGGTCATACCCAACATGAAGTACGTCATAGCCGCCATGCACGGCGCGCCGAATATTAAGGACACGAGGAACGCGTTGCGCCAACGACGGATTTCTTCTCTGATAGATAAATTAGCATATTATAATACTGAAATAAATGCTATTTAATATAAGTATTTATACTAAAATTAGACTTTGCTTTGATACCTGATGTTATGTTAGTTCAACTTAAGTTAATTTTATTTGAGAAGTTTTATTCGTCTTCATTAAAAAATACAATATCAAGTAAAGTCGAGTCACTAATATGTACTAGTATGATAAAAAGTAATTGTCTACTTTATATAGCAGATCTTGTTATATTTAAGTCAAAGATGTGGAAAAAGGTCAAATTAAGGTCAAAGGTCATATAACTGACTTGTGCTCCAAATAGTTGGCGGTGCCCTTGTGTTGTGACCCGACTACGCTCGCTTCAAACCCGAGGTCCCCCACAGCGTCACATATGCGACGCGCGCCGATCACTTCGGGGTCATACTTGACTTTACCCCTGAAAGAATGGGGTAACGATTAACATGTAGTTATTATTATTGGCTATAGATATGTTAGTTGAATTCATTTAAATATTCATTTAAATGAAACTAATATTTTTCGGATTACTACGTTTATATCTCGTCTTAATGATCACGATTGATGAAAAGTAACCGAAACGTCGGTAGTATGTAGTTAAAATAATAAAATACGTGTAGTAATACAAAAATATTAGTATTATTTAATGATAATAATATTTATTTGCTCTGAATGTAGGTACAGAATATACAACAAATAGATTTTAATATAGGTTCCAGGTACATTCTACCATAAGGCATGCAAAAATTAGGTTTTAAATTATTAATTAAAATTAACTATACAATTAAAATTACAAATTAATTTAACCATGCAATTATAATCATAAATTCATATTAAGTGTGTTAACTATTTAGGTTTTGTATAGGATTTTTCTTGTATTAAATGAAATTGAGGTTTTCAATTGAACCAAACTAGATACTTTATTCTTCACACATTAGCAGAGAGCATAGACAATAGACACGAGTATAGACTAAACTAAAAATAGATAACATAATTATTTCTTATTAGTGATCTCCTTAGACGGATTAACAAATTCACCCTATTTCTATATGCTAAATAAAATTATATATTCAACAAAGTGTTTTACAGATTATAATTAACTAGTGAATATTGTTATGAGATGATTCGAGCGAACCCTGGTGGTATCAACTAACTTGCTGGTAGTTAGTGCCACGGAGCAAGAAACCACTCCGCTCAGCTTCATCAGAGATTTCTCTATTTTGTTGACACACGACGCACACGTCATGCCTTTGATCTGAAATATATATTGTTAAGATAATTAGGAATTATTATTATTAATAATAATAACTTTTTATTTCAAGTGACCATGACTCATTTTATTGTTAGTGATACATATTACTTGTTTCCTATGTTAGTATAATAAATTAATTAACCAAAATTAAACGATCTATCACTAAATTGTAATCATGGTAGTAATTGCTGAACTAATCCGCTCGAAATAGCACAGCAATGACTAACATACTTACAGTCTAAACTGCTAGCAATTGCCTTATTACATGCATTTAAAAATTAAATCACTAATATTATAAAAGTGAAGATATTTCGTAATAAAAGGCATTTATTGGTTGGTTTTCTTAACAGTGAATAGTTGTCACAGTGTATCTACATTTAATTTATTAATAGTTATGACCAATGCCTGTTTTAATTGTGAACATTGACATCGCTTTGTTATTTGTTCTTTATTTAAGTCATATTCATAATTTAGCAATAAAAATTTCAATTTGTATCACTAGATTGTTTTTGAAAATTTTATTAAGAAAATTCTGTTTCTAAACCTAAATATATATATCAATATGTCTATATAAGACTGTGTACAATATAACTTATATACATATAATGTTCTTCAATTATATATATGATATTTATTTAAATTGATTTATTGGTATATTTAATAGTAAAATACATATAATTCTCTCTATCTCATCTTTCACTTAAAAATCACTTCCTAAGAAACTTACAATATAAAATGTTACTTCAAATCTATATATTTCTATGAAAATCTTTATATAATTAGTTTATAACTAACTAATAAGTTCAAATCCTTCGGCGCGCCGCTGTCGCTGATGAGTTCGGAGGTAAATCCCAGTTCAGTGATGGAGTCGGCTATAGCCGCTGCGGATATCTTAGCCGGCTCGTAACGGACCTCGGCTTTAGCCGCCAATAAGGCTATCACTATCGAATGGACACCTGGGAGAAATGGGGTAATTTATAATATGTATATAAAAGAGGGGTAAAATGGAACAAATTGTTATATTTTACCCTTAAAAAGTTTCAATCAGAAATTATTTTAATTTGGTTGTATCAAAAGTAATTGTAGTTTCATATAACACAAAAAACAGTACATATGAAATATAAATAGACATTTTTTTGGTCATCAAATCTATATTACCCTAGTTTACCCAAACCATATTTACCCGTTAATTTAGCACAATGTTTCTCTATAGCCGCTACACACGAGGCGCACGTCATCCCCTTTACCTCCAGGGTACATCTTGATATCTCTGTTGGCACGTTACCCTGGGGGAAAGAAATTACCCTTTATAGTTTTCAATTCATAATTAATCAAATATACAGGGTGACTGGTGAATTACTATCAATATTTAAGGAGCATACTCGGTACATGATTCTCATTCGAATTATGTAAAAAAAATAGGTACTTAATTTTTGACCAAATTTCCGTATAAATAAATAAAGTGTGTACACGTCCCAAGTGTTCCAAGTGTGGACGCGTGCGGCGGCGTGCTGATACAACAACACGCCGCCGCGCGCGTATGTGTGTGTGTGTGTATACCTAATCTGTAGGGTGTTCATACGATGCGTAATTAATTACATAACTTTTGGTTAACTTTACTTAGAAGTTTATTAATATTTATGTTATATTAATTTTTATTTTGTCATATATGATCGTCAAATATCACGTCCTCAAATATCGATAGTAATTCACCAGTCACCCTGTATATAAAAATCATTTTATATCAATCATTATTAGGCAGACCCTGGCTAAGGTTGGGAAATTTATTTATTTATTTAATTGCCAGGAAGAAGATATATAAAAAACATTAATTAAAAATTCTTTATTCATATATAATATATTTACAACTTAACGATTGTATTATTTTATATCATAAATTATGAATTTAATATAACCAACCAACTTTCAAAAAGTAGGTGTATGTAATAATGTAATGGTTTAGATTCACAATTTTGTCCGCTGGACAATGTTTTTTAATTAATTTTTAATTTATTAGTACTTGTTGATACAAACGTTTTTTTTACATTACATTATGTCGCACTTCAAAACACCTAGATTTATGGTTTTAATAGGTAAACTCCAAAAATATAAATAAAAAAACGTAACAGATAATTCTTGATTATAGGGCGATACGAAGTTCGCCGGGTCTTCTAGTAGATATATATATCTCATATCCTTTATATATGTATGTCTTATATATCCTTACATTGGTTTTCCTGGCCACCTCCCCCCCTCCCGGGCCCTTCCTTCTGTCCCCGGAGCCGCCCTGGTCCTTCGTCTTTGTATCTGATGAATATAATACATTATTATTAATTTATACATACATATATTGATTAATTTCACTGCATGTACATGCTATGGGGATGCGAATGTTGAGATGGGTGATTAAGACAAATATTTAAAAACGTCATATATGTATGTATGCATATTATTGAATATTTATTACTGTTATTTATTTTTTGTATGTGTTGAAATTGTATTTATTTTAAGAGTATTTAAATTGCACCACCCTATACTGTCTTTCAAACAATTCTCTAACCCAAGGTAGTCTGGAAGAAATGGCTAATAAGCTATAAGGCCGCCTTTTGTTTTACCTTTAGTTAATTAGTTTGTGTATTTTATAATTGTTTGTGATTGTAATTGTGGTGTACAAAAAAGTGTAAATAAATAAATAAATAAATAATAAATGGCTGTGTGGAGTGACAAGAAGTGATAAGATAGGAATAAATTATATCAGAAGAAGTTTGAAAGTAGTAGTAGTGATTGATAAGTTGAGAAGTAATAGATTAGCGTGGTATGGATATATTATGTTTAGGAATGAATGTCATATAATAAGAATGTCATATTACATATATGTGGGTTGAGGTATACCTAAGAAAAGATTAATGGATTGTGTGAAGGATGAAGTGGCTAAGAAATGGATAACCAATGAGACTAGAAGAAAAAAATATGTTGTGCCGACATACATAAAGTGGAATCAGGGAAGAAAAAAGATTAAACCGACTTCACTGAAGTTATTCCACAGAATATTTTTTTTATTAAAATTTGATTTAATAATAAAAATAGTTGTTTTAAACTATCAATAAGTCGATTTATATATATGTATATGTTTGTTACATTACATAAAAACTACTGAACCGATCTCAGCTACACTTTATATAGACTGTTCATGTACTAGATACTTTCAAACCGTCAGTATGTAGTTTGTTACTCGTACTAAGGGTAATAACCTTTGTCGGTGATGGTGATGATGTCCACGTCGAAGCCGAGGTTGTACACGGTGTCCCGGATGTCTTCCGGTGTGACGTCACCGGAAGTGAAGCTCACCTGGACAGTACCCTGGGACAGACTGACGGTACACCTGGTTACACCTGGCAAGGCTTTGAGGGCACCTGGAAACAGATTATATCTTTATATATACAGGGTGACTGGTGAATTACTATCAATATTTAAGGAGCATACTCGGTGCATGATTCTCATTCGAATTATGTAAAAAAAAAATAGGTACTTAATTTTTGACCAAATTTCCGTATAAATAAATAAAGTGTGTACACGTTCCAAGTGTTCCAAGTGTGGACGCGTGCAGCGGCGTGCTGATACAACAACACGCCTCCGCGCGCGTATGTGTGAGTGTGTGTGTATACCTAATGTGTAGGGTGTTCATACGATGCGTAAATAATTACATAACTTTTGGTTAACTTTACTTAGAAGTTTATTAATATTTATGTTATATTAATTTTTATTTTGTCATATATGGTCGTCAAATATCACGTCCTCAAATATCGATAGTAATTCACCAGTCACCCTGTATAATTCTTCTGTGAGTGTGTATGAGACTGAACTTGACGTCTCAAATGACGTAACCGATTTTGATTAAATTTTTTGTGTGTGTTCAAGGGAATCTGGGAATGGTTTAGATTCACAATTTTAACCGCTGGACAATGTTTTTTAATTTATTAGTAGTTGTTGAAACAAACGTTTTTTTTTGACATTAGATTTGACAACTAACTAATATCTCAATCATTCTGTCGCACTTCAGAACACGGAGATTTATGGCTTTAATAGGTAAACTCCAAAAATATAAATAAAGAAATGTAACAGATATTTTTTGATTATAGGGCGATACGAAGTTCGGCGGGTCTTCTAGTATATATATATATATGTATGTGTGTCTGTCTGTGTGTGTGTGTGTGTGTGTGTGTACCCTGTATGGAGTCGACGCACGACTGGCAGGTCATCCCCACCACAGCGAGCAGCAGGCTGGCGTCCGTGCTCATGTCTATCAGCGTGTCGGTGGGGATCTCTGGGTTTAGGAGGTTCCTGGAACGGACAGACATACATACATTAACACTAACACTGTTATATACTAATAACATAATTATGATATCTATGATTTTTTTTATGTCAAAGATGTAAAACGATCAAACGGCCTACTTGATGGTCAGTAGTGACCTATCAGTAGACATCTGCTACTTAAGAGATGTTGTGGATGCTTTGCCAACCTTGATTGGGTAGGAAGGAGCGAAAAAGATGGGAAAAGGGAATTCACGCCGATCTTCTGTGAGAGGGTGGTACTTCAACCAGACAGAACATGTTCGAGATGTAGTAACTTGACCACAGCTAGGCTCTACCATCTCAAAAAATATTGTTATATAGTTTCACGAAAATAAGTCTAGAAGACTACGAAATCTATATCTGTGATCTTGTACCTTCATTTGAGTGTATGTTGTGTCTGTTATATATATGTATCTGTGTGTGTGTGTGCGTGTGTGTGTATGAGTGTGTGTGTGTGTGTGAGTAACCTCGTCTCTCCGTCGCTATTGTCCGTAACGTCGAAGCCCATATCTTCTATATGAGAGCGGATGCTGTCCGCGGAGCACGCGCTGGGGTCATACTTGAAGTAACCAGCCTTCTCTGACAGCTCCACCTGAAACGACGAACTTACGTTACAGACACGTACAGGTCTATCGAGTAGACCGACGGTCTATTGAGTAGAACGATTTATCAACAGCATAAAAAAGAATATGGTTTATAGTCTGTTATCTAGAGTGCTGGGGTATTATTTAGACTCAAAAGACCGACGGTCTACTGAGTAGAACAATTCATCTACTAAATCTAAAAAAGACATATGGTTTATATTGTAACATCTGGAGTGTTAAGGCAGCATTTAGACCTAGTAGACCGGCGGTCTACTGAGTAGACCAAGTGCGTAACCTATCTATATAAAGCTGTACCTTAACGTAGTGTATTCCCGGCAGTTCCCTGACCGATCCCTCGATGCTCCTCACACAGGACTGGCAGGTCATGCCATGGATGGGGAGGCGCACGGACACCAGCTCCGGACTGGGGTCACTGGAGAGACGTGATTAATACAACATTACTTACAAGACTTTTATTATACATGTACAATAAATGAGACAATTCATTAATATTAGTATTTATATTCATATATATTTTTTGTATCGAATTAAAATATATGTAAATAATAGGAAAAAGGTATAAAAGAACAATTAGAAATATATTATATAATGAATACATTTATAAACTAACCTAGTTATAGGCAATCTACGAATACTTTGTAATGTAACATATTTTGCACTGAAATAAAAAGCTTTATTATTATTATTAATAGGAAACAGTCTGCTTGAAGAGTATGATGATAAAAAATTTCATCATTTTCAAGAATAATTTTTAGCCGGTAAAAAATTAATACAAAGTGTTTAATTTTTGTTCGCATTATAGAAAGAACATATAGCTCAGTTTACGGAATGACTGAGACATAACACTTCGTGAGTCGCAGGTTCCCATATATTATTATTAATTTATTTAAATTTATTACGATTTATGCAATATCTATAAGGTATGATGAGTAATGAGCTATTTCTTTACAAATCACATCTTAAGGCCATAAAACAAAAGACTAGAAAATTCTTAAAGGACGTACATATATAATTTGATAGAACAAAAGAATTAATCAGTAATAATCTTTACAAGTAAAAACTTAACCAATCAAAAGCACCGTAAAACTATTTATAATTAAATAGCATCGAAAATTTTTATTGCACTGCCCAAGTAAGAGTTACAATCCTAACTTCATACTGATAGTGATATCGTGTCATTAACGATAAAATATCTAACTGTCGTTACTGAGTTTACTATGAGAACTCATACTAAGGATAATGATGTTTTATGTGTTATCTCACGCCCTTGAAATGGAAATAAAGTGTTCAAGAAAATGTTTGTAAATAGGTATATATGTACTTGTGAACCGACTTCAAAAAATGTGGAGTTATGTTTGTCTGAACAACGTGTATGTTACGTTAGCTATACCTAAAAATTAATAGTTAATTAAATAAATTTTATTCAAAATTAATCTTTCAATCTAACTTAATGTACGTAAAATTATGGAACTGTAATGAGATTTAAGACTTTCGAGAGTATTCATTTAAATGAAACTAATATTTTTGCATTATTTATGTAAAAAAACTACATACTGCATATATTTTATGGAACTGTATTTATAATATTCTTACGTAGTTAACATTCGTGATAACTAGATTTGACCTTGAGAAAGAACATAGGATAGTTTTTATCCTAGACTTTTGAAAGGTTCTCTTGGAGACGCGATATAATAACTCCACGCAGGCGAAGCTGCGGGTTAAAGCTAGTATACTACTTATCATATTTACTAACGTTGTTTTCAATATTATATCTGCGAAAGTTAGTCTTTAGAGCACGTAGCGTTAACTTAGCGTTGCGTAATAGAGTAGCGTATTTGTCGGATTTGTCCAAATATTTGTACGTAGTCCAAATAACGCAAACATGACATCCACACTTGGCATCACAACACGTCTTTATGCGTTCTCGCTTATTTGTGTATGTGTGTTATTTGTGCAAATATGTCAAATTAAGACGAATAAATTCTCCACACATGGTCTCATTTTGGCTAACACAACAAATAAGAGCCAAGTGAAATGCACCTTTAGTGTTGACAAGATTCAAGACTTTTTAATAATTCTTATACAAAGACAAAACGAATAACACTAAATGACTTTTGATTATAATTTACATAATCATTACACAATTAAAATATGTATGTCTGTATGTTATTTGTACATGTATCTCTGATGTATAGATAGATATATTTGTTCAACCGGGTCGATGGAGTATAATCTTAACTGATAAGAGATAACATATTGAAACATCACGTTTCGTAAATATATAGACTACCTTATGTACTTATATACGTAAAATCTTCTTCTACCTGGCATTTTCCCAGCCTTAGCCAGGGTCAGCCTTACATGTTGTGAATAGTTTTAGCTAATTGTCTTTACGACCGGCCGCCGGCCTGACATCAACCCTCTTTGGGAATGCATTAATCAGTGATGTCTAAATACTCTTATAAAGTACATATGACTCGGAAAAATCACATTGGTACTTGTCAGGATCGAACCCGCGCCCTCGTGCATGAGAGGCGGGCCTTTTAACCACTAGACCACCACTGACTTCATTATAAGTCAGTAAAATATGGTTTTGTATATGGAACGTACATCGAAGTCAGTCCTAGTAGGTTCTTTTCAAATTTGGTAGAGAGAGGAGCTTGTACAGTGGAGGTGAGCGTTTAACGCGCATTAGATAGAGACCCTTTTATGTAATATGTATTATATATATATATAGTAATTATACCTTTCTAGACTTTAAGATTTTTAAATTGATTTTCAATATTAGCTCTTAAATTAAATATTAAAAATTATCTGAATTGAAATCCACGGATGATGAATTAAGATCCCATGTATCCTTAGTACGATTATCGTTACGAGCGGTTACTATCAATATGATCGTATATATTAGCAACAGAAAACTAAAACTTGAATAAAACTAAAATACTGTCAGTTTTTTGTACAAGTACTATTAAAATGATTAAAATATATTTGTCCTTAGGTATAAGATTAAAAAAATCACAAAGATAATATTAAAAATTCTCCAATTTCTTTGTTAAAAACAATCAAGATCCGTGAAGATTTCAATAACATATAAAAGGCCAAATACAACGATTATACGTAACTAGCTTTCCGCCCGCCGCTTCGCCCCCGTGGAGTTCGGTTATATCGCGTTTCCAAGAGAACCTTTCAAAAGTCTGGCATAAAAACTATCCTATGTTCTTTCTCAAGGTCAACTCTATCTCTGTACCAAATGTCATTAAAATCAGTTCAGTGGTTTAGACGTGAAAGCGTAACAGACAGACAGACAGAGTTACTTTCGCATTTATAATATTAGTAGGGATGATCAAAATCTGTCGAGATTTCACTAAACTTATTTATAAAGATATTGCCGAAGCATTTAGTGAAGGTATTTTCCTTAAACATGTATGACATCGAAACAATGAGTTAAAATTAAATACAACGAACAAAGAACTTTTATTAAAATATTGTAATATTGTTCATACTGTATTGTAAATTTAATGTTTTTAGGGCAAACAATTAAATCATATTCATACGCAGTATTATTTTAATCAACTATATTGAAAAGACCTGTTTTTTTTGTCAACATAGGTCTATGTTAGGCGTAAAGGTGGCGCCAAATCCCTTCTCGTAAAAGATTCTACCGACTAGGTAAGAAAGCTTCGAGCACAGTCCCTCCCTTGTCTATCCAATTTGATACACAACCGGACCTGTGTTTTCTATAGATAAATAAGCTATCCCAGCGGAAATAGCTATTCAAGAGCTCTGGTGATGAAATGCACTTTCAGACAGAAAATATAATCGCTATGAAAACTTGCGTTGTGTTCTTGAACTTTCTACATTGTGAAGAGTGTGCAAGAATGAACAAAAACCCCCAAAAATCATCTGGACGATAACCCAGCATGAGAATGTCATCTTGGGACTAAGCAGAGATGAGGAGCCTTTCATTGATAACTAAACCAATAGTTGAACATTAAGATTCATTCGTCAACCATACTCATTCTTACAAGAACTTCTTATATTCCCAATAAGACTTGAAGTTAAAAAATCCATCAAATCTTAATAGATTTTAAAGATAACGTCTCTATTTACACAATTTATCAAATTAAAATATATACGGTACTAAAAAATATATAACTTTGTTAGCATCAAAACAAACAGCATACACGTAAGTAAAAGTAAGACAAAAATAATAATAATATAAAATAAAACAGGTTTATATGTGTGTCAGTGAGACGATTTAAGTTTTATTTTTATCACGTATATATTAAAATGTTAATAATTTCAATGTATACTATCAATTATTTAAATTAATTCAAGTTCATTGACATTTGATATACTTACATATGAACAAAACCGCTATCGATGTTTATAACACTATAATATCACAGATATAGTATTTGGTAACAAATATATTTAGAAAACACGAAAACTAGAGCACAACACATAAATTTTACGTATAACACTTAATTCGGAAACAAAAATGGTGAAAAAAATCCCATAATTTGAATACAATTTAACTCGCAAAACAAACAAGTTCACACAACACCGTTCGAAATTCGAATTTCGTATAACTTAGACGCTATGACGTCACTGCGTTCCCGTGTATGGCGCGCTGTGTGCAAAACTTTATACAGTATAGCGGTTAAAGCGCTTCAATATAACATTTATTTATTGATGTAATATTTGAAGAAATTATTCCTACAGTTGCATGAAATAATTTTAAAATGTTAATTTCTTACTAAAAAATTTAAAAAGATGAAATAATAATTATAAAACTTTTAATAAGTTATTTGTATTAATTACTATAATTATGTTAATAAAGTAAGCGCTTACAGCGCTGTTTTGCCAATATAGTGCCGTGCGGTAAAGGATAATAGACAAATCGAGGGTTATCAATGAAATATATTAATTGCATTCAACTGAATCACAAATATTTAACAATAAAAACTAAAAATATCTTCATATAAAACAGTTTTTTATATATACACAGATAAATTTATGAGAAGTATACAAACTATATACGTACTGCCAATATAAGACCACATTTGATAATAAAATCACTTTCGAAATCTATTTTATTTGTATTTAATGTCGGTCGATGTGTCTCCTGGGGCGGGTCGATAGCTGATTGTGTGACAGCTATTGTTAAAGCATTATTATCTAACAGACGGACACACGTAATAATGTTTATATTAGTGGCCGCTATGAAGACGCGATGTTGATTAAATATATGAGAACTATACGCCTAGGACAGAGGAGCAAATCTATTGTTATATGAGTGGGGTCGCTGGGGTCACTGGGGTAACAAGAATATTTGGTTATTGGGGTAAATAAAGTAACAAAGATTACTGAATAGATTAATGTTACTAAAAAGGTATTTAAATTGGG